CCTAACCCTGCCCTGACAGAGCTCCTGCCGTTCCCTCAGGTGAATCATTCTCTGTTAAACAGAGAATTTTGGACACTTTTGGACCAAGCTTTTGGTCTCTGGAGAGTTCTGTGTATTGAATCAGGGGTTTTCAATCTCAATGGTTTTGATACCTTTAAAATACGAAGTCAGTCTTATCCCCAAATCCAAAACAGGAACTGAATCTGCCCCTGCAGGAGCAGTGCAAAGGCCAGAGTTGTGCTCTGAGCTTCACTCCTCTCCCATTTGCGCTGAGTTTCCAGCTTCAGAAGAAAGAAATCGTTCTTTCCATCAAAAACTGCCATTCAGTGCCAAAGGGCACAACTCCCCAAAGCTCTGGGTCGGCTTTACACGATCCCTGCCAAAGGCGGTCCCTACACAGAACGCAGCTGCCACCCTCTGGGACCCGGCCCTTACTGCACTGCAGGGTTAGTGATGCCCTGTGATGCTCATGTGATACTCAGTGATGCCCAGTGAAGCCCAGTGAAGCCCAGTGATACCCATGTGATACCCAGTGATGCCCAGTGATGCCCTGTGATGCCCAGTGATGCCCATGTGATACTCAGTGATACCGAGTGCTGCCCATGTGATTGATACCCAGTGATGCCCAGTGATACCCAGTGATTCCCAGTGATACTCAGTGATGCCCAGTGATGCCCATGTGGTTGATACCCAGTGATGCCCATGTGATTCCCAGTGATGCCCATGTGGTACCCAATGATGCCCATGTGATATCCAGTGATACCTATATGATGCCCAGTGATGCTCAGTGGTGCCCAGTGATGCCCAATGATGTTCGTTGATACCCAGTGATGCCCAGTGATACCCAGTGATGCCCAGTGAAGCCCAGTGGTACCCATGTGATGCCCAGTGATGCCCATGTGATACCTAGTGATGCCCAGTGATGCCCAGTGATACCCAGTGATTCCCAGTGATGCCCATGTGATACCCAGTGATGCCCAGTGATGCCCAATGATGTTCATTGATACCCAGTGATGCCCATGTGATACCCATTGATACCCAGTGATGCCCATGCAGTGATGCCCATTGATACCCAGTGATGCCCGTGCAGTGATGCCCAGTGATGCCCAGTGATGCCCGTGCAGTGGTACCCCAGGTTTATCTGGCATTACCTGCCCCAGAGCCCCAGGGAGGCTGAGGGCTCCTGCCCAGCTCCTGTAACTTTTCCCTCTTTCCCGCCCCACAGGTGCCATGGCCACAGCGGCTTTCCAGGACTCAGCACCAGCTCAGCTCCGCTCCCCTCCGGGCACAGCCGCTCTGCTGTGGGCCAGCGCCATCACCATGCACGTCTCCAGGCCCAAATCTGCCAAGGGGCAGAGGCCAAGCTTGAGCCACCGGCAGGGCACGGAAGGCTGTCCGTGCCATGTGCCAGGTTCCCCGCTGGCACCTTCTCCTCGGGAATTGGTGAAGAGCCGGAGAGCGCCGCTCACAAAAGCGGCGTTCCCACCTGCCCAGGTGTCTCCTGGGAAAATCCCGAAGCTCCTGCAGCAGGTGCCTTTGAAGACCCCCTCCTCCTCCCTGAACAGGTACCGGGTGCTGCCCTCCATCAGCCGGAAGGGGGCGGGGAGCAGCGCCGTGGAAGCCTTGGCTGAACGGACCAACCGGCTGGAAGTGAGCGAGGGCCAGGAGGATGCTCCAAAAGCCACCAAGGCTTCTTCTGGAGGACAGGGATGTGCCAGCACACTGTCAGGAAGTGGCATTCCCACCGAGGAGAGCTCAGGTGCCCTCTGTGCCCCTGAGCAGTGGGGAGGGCAGGGGAGCCCCTGGGTGCCCCCTGCAGGCCTGGAGGAGCCGCAGGTGCTGCTCGCTGTCCGCTCTCCCTCTGGGCAGAGGTTTGAGCACCACTTCAAGCCCTCTGACAGCCTCCAGACCGTCCTTGCCGTGGCAGGACAGAAACTGTTGGCCAACTACCAACACTGCAGCGTTGAAACCATGGAGGTGCCCCGGAGGAGCTTCTCTGACCTTACCAAGTCCCTCCAGGAGTGCAGGATCCTGCCCAAGTCCGTGCTGTGCATCCGGCAGCACAAGCAGCACGATGCAGCAGCAGATCTTTAGGCACACAGAGCACTGTGGTGCCTCTGCTCAGCGAGCTGCATTGCTTCTTCCAAAATACTGAGAGTCTGATGCTTCCTGCACCTACTTCTTACTCTTCTATCTCCCACAAAATCCCCAGGAAGCAGAGTTATGGATATGTAATAGTATTTGAAATAGTATTTCAGAGAATAGTATTTCAGATGGATAAACCTGATTCATACGGAACAGCCTGTGTCACCTGTGCCATCACAAATTTCTGCCTCGACACCACCAACCTTCAGCCTTTCTGGTTTGTTGAAGTTCCTGATGTTTTTTGAAAACTCAGGTTTCCAAGACCTCTCCTCTTGTCCTTTTCCATGTTTTGGGAAGGTACCACTTCTCTGAATGCAGAAGCATCATTTGTGAAGGTAGAAACAGAACTGGTTTAGCTTCAGGACCACCTTCAGTAGCTTATCATTATCCTAAATGTCTTCTCAAGAGACTGAAAAGGAGATCACCCCAAATCCATCTGGAAATAACAGTAGTAACACAGGAATGAGTTATTGTGAAGTATTAAATTGCAAGACATTGTAAAATAGCCTGGAGGACTCAGGTGTTTCTGGGTAACCACAGTCCAGCTCTTAACTGTGACTAAATCATCTTTGGCTGTCTTGGGGAGCAACAGGATTTTCTCCTTAGTTTTCCTTCTCTTATTTGGCTCATGTGACCCATAGGTAAGAAGAGGTGGATAGTTAAGAAGGGATGTTACAGATAATTCCATTTAACCCCTTTGCACTGAAGTCAGTAAGTCCAAGGAGCAAGTGCTGCTTTGGGAATTTTAAATAAGATATTAATGGGATTTAACTGGGATCTGGCTCAAGGAGTAAGCCATCTTTGACTGCACCATTATTAAAAGGCTGTGGTTGGGTGACTAGGCAGCTTTAGGCAAACACAATGTCCTTGTGCTAAAAAGGGAAATATCTCCTAGTTCCTAATGGAATTTCAAAGGCAGTAATTTTTAATCTCCTTTAACACTGGACACTTGCCTCACAGATGAGTGAGTTTAAATGTTTTGAAGTTCTGTGTAAGTGCCAAACCAACCCTGCACAGGAGCACAAACACAAGAGGAGCAGAAAGCTGATGCTGTGCTGGCTGAGTGTGGTACCTGATGCTAAATGAAGTGTTCAGAGTCCAGCAGCTTTGTAAAACCAGTGTCTGATGGAACAGTGGTCCCTGCTGCTGTTGGTGATGGGAATCACTCAGCAGCTGTCACAATATCGACACATATGGATGCCTTCAACAGAACCATGAAGTATTTCACTTGGCTTCAGGAAAAGGGACCATCTTCCAGGTTTCCTTCAGAGTTAGGTAGTTAATTCCCTATTTCTGCCTGTTGTGGGTACTGTATCACTCCTGTATTTCAGAGTATTTCCATCCTGTGTTAAATAAAACCTTTTAGGCTGAAACTTGAACTTTAAATATGAGCTGAGGTTAATCCATCACGCCTGCTCTTAAGAAACCTTCAATCTGATGGCAAATACCTCAGGGGCTGCCCCAATCAGCCTTTGGATGGTCAGCTGCCCTCCACAGCACCCTCCTGCAGTTTGGAGCTGCATGCTGTGCTCAGCACAAGCCTGCAGCCAAGGGGGAAGCGCTCTCTGTCAGTGCCAGGCTGTGAGCAGAGCTGGGGAGCAGCTGGGAGAGCACAGGGGCTCTCAGCAAGAACAGAACTATCAGACCATTCAGAGTAACTTGGCTCACGGTGGATTTCTCACACTGCAGAATGTTCCTCCTGGTAAAGCTGGATGAGTTTGGTTCTGATCACCTCACCCAGGCTACAGCATCTCCAAAGGTGGGCAAAAAGTATCAAGTCTTGTTCTAGGCAAGCACAGCACAGGGCAAACACCTCTATTCTCCCTCAGTTCTCTTCCTTTCAGAACTGTTCTGGGGAGATTTTAGCAGCAATTCTAAGTGCAGCACAAGAAGCACGGGGGGAAGAACAATATTCATCTGACCTCATTTATTGTGTGGCATCATTTAACAAACTTCTTAGTGGCAATTCTTTAAGAATTTCAGCATTAAAGTCACAAATATAAAACTCATCAGGACTTTTGGCTGAGAACGTCCTTACTGAGGGTTTCAAACACCAACAAAGTATTCAAGCAAGAAGCCAGCAAAGGGATTGTTCAGTATGTGTTCTTTAATTCCAATTAAAAGTACATTAGAAACAGCACACAGGACCAGCAGCAGCTTCCATGACAATTCAATCCAATACTCTGCTGTCACCAGGTCATTCAACTGTACTAGGAAAGTAGGTGATTAAACCAAGTCTTCCACTCCACACGCACTCACTCACCTGCCACTTTAAATAGGATTCCAACAGAATAAAAATAGATACACCCCAGAATACAAAAAGTTTAATTTTAAGCTGTTTTTTTTTTCTTCACTAAAGCCTTTATACAAATTGATAAAAGGGTGCACAATTTCCTAAAATTTTAGGTACATTTTAAATGAGCCTTTTTTTACTTGGTAAAAGGATCCATATTCCTGTCTTTGAACAGAATATGATGGCCAAAACTGCAAAGAAAACAATTCAGTTTAAATTTACAATTTATACATTTGTTTTGACATGATTCCCACGCTGAGTAGCAGGCCCATGGCTGCTCATGCATGTCCCATTTCCCCCCAACAAAGAGCTGTGCACCCTAAGTTCTGCTTCAGGAGCCTCCTTCTCCTGGAGACGGGGCCGGGGGAACAGCCCACAGTGTCCAGCTGTGTGCACCAGAGTGGTCCCAGCACACAGGAGGCATCATCCTTCCTCCTCCAGGAGCTGTGAATCCTTCCTTCTCCATGGAACACCCCGGGGCAGGGACCAACAACCTATTCTGCACTATGGAGCACTTCCCACCTGCAATTTGGCTGAGCAATTTGACTCAAAACTCTGGTACTGAAACCTACTGCAACAGGTAAATTTGGTGTACTAAGGGTACATGTTTTTGGTCAATCCAGGCTACCATGATTTGTTGGTTCTTGTAATCCTGTATCTGATGGGTGAAGCCCAACAGCTCTGTACATTACCCATGCTGAGCTTCACAGCACGGTGCATTTCATCAGATGGTGAATTTCATTCCCAGAGGTGAATTTAATCAGGCAATCCATTANTGGCACTGCCCAAACGGGCGCTTTCAGGAGTGGAATCGTGAGAGGCTTTATCCCCTGCTCCAGAATTGTGGAATCATGGAATGGTTTGGCCTGGAAGGAACCTCAAAGCCCATCTGGCTTTGTTCCATCCCCTGCCATGGGCAGGGACACCTTCCACTGTCCCAGGTTGCTCCAAGCCCCATCCAACCTGGCCTTGGACACTTCCAGGATTGGGCCACAGCCTCCTCTCAGGGAGAATGGCTTTTGCAGTCTGGCATTCACAGCCTCTGTGAATGATATTTTGCCCCCTGGACACAAGATATTTTGCCCTCTAGACCAGCTCTGCCGTGCTGCAAACTGCAATCCCCCATCACCAGGATCAGCCATGGGCTTGGCACAGGCAGGAAAGGTGACAACAGGCTCCAAGGGCCTCCCAAAAGAAATCTGGACATCCCAAAGACTCCCCTTCCCCAGCCCTCTAGGACTGCAGCAGCTCTGCACAAAGCACTAGAGAGAAACTGCCAGATTTAAACAAAAACCTGAACTGTGCACCGAGGCTCAGGGTTTGTGGGTGGATTCTGGCCTGGCCAGGCACAGCAGGGCACTTACCACAAGCCAGGAGCACGGCAAGGAGCAGATTCCTCATCCTGGGCTGCCCTGGGGAGGGAACAAGGATGGGTGATGATCCAGGTGGGACAGGAGCTTCTCCAGAGGAGCTGGGTGCCCCCGGGCAGTGCCTCAGGTGACACTGCTGTCCCTGTGGGTGCACAGCCCTGGAAGCATCCCCAGGTGAATCCTGGCTGCTCTGTATCCCATTTGGGATGTGGGGCTTGGCAGGGACCCAGTGGCTTGTCCTGCCTGGGGCTGCTGGAGCAGCTCAAGAGCTGCAGCCTTCCCCCCCTGCCCTGAGCAGCCTGAGGAGCACCGGGGCAGTGAAATCCCCTCCTCTCACCCTGCCTGGACCTGCAGTGCAGCGCTGCCAGCTCAGCAGGGTGGGTTTATATCCCTGCCAGGCCCACCCCCTCCTGTCTGTGCTGATGGTGTCAGCTGTCCTAAGCCAAGTTTGCCTGGAGCAGGGAGCTGATTCCCATCCTTCTCTTCCCCAAAAACCACGAGTTTTCCCTCTGCAGCGAGCACCAACTCTTCCTCCATCATCCTGCTCATCACTGGGCATGAATCCATCTCCATCCCTGAATGAGGCCACTCAAGGCCTTGGCCATGGCCGTGGTTTTAAAACCATGGGATTTGGTGGCTGGAGAAGTGGGACAGAAATGATTTGTCACCTCAGAGGCCACTGAATCCTTGTTCCAGGTGTGGAGGCAGCACTTTGGGCTCAGTATTTCCTCAGTTTTACCAACTCACCTCCTGAAGCCTCAAAGATGTTTTCTATTTGTTCCTTCCTTGAAACTGCCCCCCAAATCCAGCTGTGCCAAATTGCAAAGGAGAACAGCAAACACCAGGATTGCAGTTCCTGGGTCTGCAGTTTTCCTGTCCTGCCCTCAGGTTTTCGAGGCAAGGGGTCTGTGAAATTATAGCACCAGCAGCAAAGGCTGGAAAAGTCATGAAAGAAAAGGAAAAGCCATGAAAACCCGACTTGGGATGCTTTAGGAATATAGTTTATTTAATTACCACAGCCCAAACATGATACAGAGCCACGGGGGAGACAGAAAAGCAGAGAAGATAAGGAACAAAAGCTGCTGTTTTCCCTTGAAATCGTGGGGCCAAGAGCAAACACAGACACAAATGCAGGTATCAGGCAGGGCCCCACCCTCAGGGATTAACCACGCTCCTGGGGAAGGGAATTTGGGGCTGGGAATTGTGAAGAAATGACCTCCAGACTGGTCTGGAATTAAGAAAAGAAACCTTTGAAATTCCTGAGAGCCACCAAAGCTGGCACTGAAGGGATGTCACCTCTCAGCTGCCCTGCAGGTTGGCAGAGCTGTCTGTCCCAGGGTTTTCCTTCCCTCTAACCCTTTGTTTCCTGCTGCAAGCGGAATAAAACCCCATCCAAGCCTGTTAAGGATGGGGAGTGACATCTCACCTGCCTCCCCCCTCGCCATCTGCACAAGAAACCTCTCCAAAATACCCCAACCCCTGCTTTCCCCACCTGGCTTTTAAAACCAGGCATCCCTGATAATAAATTAATCAATCCCTTTCCCCCTCCTCTACAAAATGCTTCCAAAATTGCAGAAGGTTTTCCCCACTGTGGTAGTTGATCTCTGTGCTGCTCCTGCTTTGCCATTGCAGGCCCTTCGATTTTGGGGGCAAATCTGGGGTTTTGCTGTAGAGTTTTGATAAATCTGTGTGAAAAGCTTTGTCCAGAGACATGAATGGAGAGCAGAGAGCTGGGATCATGTGGATTTGGGATCCACACGTGGTTTTAACCAAATCCCCTCATTTTAAGCCCTCCTTTTCTGTGGAACACCCATTCAGGGGAGTGCCCACATGAAGCTAAACCCTGTCTTTAACTAACCCACAAACTCAAGGGCTTAAAAACCACCCGTGGAAGTTATCATCCCATTGGAAATGTGGAACTTTTCAGCCTTCCTATGGAGCAAGGAGAGCTGGGTATCTCCCACCCATCTGTTTGCTCAGGCCCTTACTGAAGTGCAAATACCCCACGTGCTTTGATCTGCAGCATTGCTAAACATCCTGGGCTGGGGTGAGCTGATAGCAAACTATTCCCCTACTTATTTTATTTCTTTTTAGTGCTCAAGTTGGCCTTGATCCTCCCACCCTGCAGGGTGGAGACCCCAAGTTTATGGTGGAAATTTATTGCTTGTGTCTTGCTGCCTTCGATGGGCATCTGTCAGTGGGAGCAGCAGCTGCTTAAGGAGGAGTGGGTTTGGAAAGGGATTAATGGGGGGAGATGGAAATGTTGGTGTTATGTGGGGTGTTCCCAGAAGGAAAACTGGCTCAGGGATCATTTTTAGCCAGGGGAGATCAAGAGGGCTCCCCCTCCCCCCCAGCTGCAGCTTTCCCAGCACAAAGAAACTCCCCCAAAAGAGTTGTTGTAGGTCCCCTTGTGATCTTGTGTGTAAAGTGTAATTTTAAAAAAGTGTTTTCCTCAGAATTCATGAGTTTGGGGTTTATTTGTCTGGCTTGATTCAGTGGCCACTGAATCACAGGGAGGTTAAAGCCAGTCCTGTGCTGCCATCCTGCTGCCTTTGCTCAGGAGGGGCTGTAGCACCTTGGTTTCAAACTGTTGGGGCTAAACCCCAAGGATTTGGGTGTTTCAGCAGGGTGACACTGCTGTGGTTTTGCTTTGGCTGAGTTGGAGGAATGGGAATTCCTGCAGGAGGGCTGGGACGCCCCAGTGCCAGGGTCACCTCTGGGCAGTTTGTGAGAGGCCCCCAGGCACCTCCTGCTCCCCCCACTCCATGTCTGGCAGAACAAAGCTTCCAGAACCTTCCTAAAGCCACGGGGCTGCTCCTGTGCCACGCCAGGCCTGGGGCTGTGTCACAGAGCCCACAGTGGGTCACGGCTGTCCCTGAGCCTGGGACATCCCCTGGGACAGCACAGCCCTGGCTCCATCCACCCAGGACAGCCCGGTTGCCCCATCCCTGTATCCACACTGGGACATCCCAGCTGCCCCATCCCTGGGTCTGTCCCTGGATCCATCCCGGGACATCCTGACCACTGCTCCCCCCCACCCCTCGATCCCAGGATCTGTCCTGGGACATCCCGACTGCCCCACTCCTGCCTGTTTCCATCTCCATTCCCATCCATCCCTGTTCTGTCTCACATTCCTATCCCTGTACCCTTTCCCATTCCCATCACGGTTTCCATCCATCCTGGTTCCCATTGCCCATTCTCATTCTACAGTCCCCGTTCCTATTCCCATCTTCTTTCCCATTCCCCGTTCCCATCCCCATTCCCCATTCCCTATTCCCATCCCCATCCCCATTTTCTGTACCCATTCCCTTCCCCATTCCCTGTCCCTGTTCCTGTTCCCATTCCCTGTCCAGGTTCCCATCCCCATTCCCTATCACTGTTCCCTTCCCATTCCCATCCCCGTTCCCCATTCTCCATTCCCTTCCCTATTCCCATTCCCTGTCCCTGTTCCCATCTCTATGCCCATTCTCCATTCCCATTCCCCGCTCCCATTCCTGTTCCCTGTTCCTATTCCCCATTCCCATTCCCCATATCCCGTTCCCATCCCCATTCCCATCCCTATCCCCGTTCCCATCCGCATTCCCTGCCCCCATTCCCTG